TATCTCTGCATTTACTTGGCCAAAGTTTTACTCATCCTCCAGATCTAGCTATGCCATGATGTCTCCCAGAAGCCTTCACCTGTACCCCCATAGCACTCAGTTCATACCTCCATTATAGTACTTGCTATAACTATGTATTTACCAATCTGTTTCTGTAACTACAGTATAAGATCCCAGAGAGCAAGTTCATGATGTTGTGTCCAGAGCTGTTTTGCCAGTGCTTAACACTATATTTAGCAGAGAGGAAACACTGTAAGTCTGCTGAAAAATGAAAATGTAATGAATGAAATTTTAAAATGAATGAAACAATTTGTTTATGAGAGGTTGGGGGGAAAAAAGTCTTCCTAAGAGTCAGAGTGCTTTCCAACATTAAACCTGAGGCCTGATATGAGTTTTTACATTTACTAAAGAAAAACATCCTTTAGTAATTTTAACAATAAATTAGTGGATTCAGGAATCAAAAATAAATTAATGGCTAGTCAGGAGAGGTATTTACTCCACAGAACATACTAATTTACAAACCAGATATTATGTAGAGCAAAAAGTATACTCTGATCTGAGAAAAGGCATCTGCAACTTTTTAAAATTAAAATTGTTTTTAAAGTGGGAAGGAAAATTGAAAATGATCTAGTGTAACTACCTCATTTCACAAATAAGAAAAATCATGAAAAGGGGAAGAACATTAACCAAGTTAGAAGATCAGGATCAAAACCAAGGTTTTATTCAAAATGAAGAGCTTGCTCTCAAATGTAACACGTTACAATTCCAGACTACTCAAGAATTAAAGCCCAGGACTTATTCCATTAGTTTGCTATGCAAACTTAATGAAGAGTGAAATAATATTGCAAGTAAGAGTTTGCATACCTGGGTTCTTATCTAGGCTGTATTTGTGAGATCTCAGACAACTCACTGAACCTTGTAATACTACCTTAATTAACTACCACGTGGGATTAATGTGAGCATCAAATGAAAGCCCTGTTGCAAATTAAAAGTATAATCATCTTTTCCATCCTCATCCCTTCAGATTCTCCAGTGTAGTCATTTAATAAGTTATCAATCTATATGGGGGGGGTCATAAACCACTGGCGATTCTGACTAGTTGGAGTTTTGTTATTCTTGTTGTACAGAAGGACAGAAAACAGTGAGAGAAGGGTGGGGAAGCTGTTTATACATTATAAACCTCCTCCCAAAGGAGAGTATTATCCATATCACCTATCAATTAAAGACTCTTTTGAGACTCACAAGTTCTTAAACTGTTCATGTTAAAATTGTTTCCCCCAGTACAGGCCCTACAAAACCTTTTAGCATTAGCATATTTCAGAAAATTCTGCGACAATTACTTGGATTATATTTATCTTATCCTATTCTACTGTAGATGTGCCCAAAGCAGGGACTCACAGTATTTCATCTTCAGGAGCTGTTTGTGAATTGTCTTAATTGGGTCAACATCCAGCTGAAATATAAAACTAAGCGGCTGGAGTTGTGCCTGAGAGAACTGAATGAAACACAACTGAATGACAAGAGACAAGGATTATACTCCCCTCTGATTTCCCCCAACTCCTTCCTCTTCATGTCTATTATTTATTTCCAAAGACCTTTTAGAAACTAGGCTCCAGGCATATGCAAAAGTCCTCTACTACAATCTACATAGCCAAAAGTATATTTACAAGTATTTTTATATTAACATTTTATAAAATACAATGTTTTGCCTCTAGGTGTGAAAATATTTAAAGGAAAGTACACTAAATGGATTTTTTTTTTAAGTTATTCATTTGGCAAACAATCATGTTCACCATCTAACACGTCCAAGGCTGAGCATGGTGGCTCACACCTGTTAATCCCAACACTCTGGGAGAGGCTGAAATGGGAGGATGGCTGGAACCCAGGAGTTCAAGACCTGCCTGGGCATTAGCGACACTCTCTTTCTTTCTTTCTTTCTTTCTTTTTTTTAAAGACGGGGTTTCACCCTGTTGGTCAGGTTCGTCTTGAACTCCCGACCTCAGGTGATCCACCCGCCTTGGCCTCCAAAGTGCTTGGATTACAGGTGTAAGCCACCATGCCTGGCTTGCAAGACTCTATTTCCTTAAAGGAGAAAAAATTATGCATTCTGTAAATTCCATTTACATTTAGAATCTCATTCTCACACAAACAGTAATATTTTGTATAAAATCAAAGCAATTGTAAATATAAATCATAGACTTCATTTTTTTTTTCCTGCCCACACAGTATACCTTAATTTTTGAAAATGTTATAAGAAGAATATCCTTGGCTGGGTGCAGTGGCTCACACCTGTAATCCCAGGTCTTTGGGAGGCCAAGGTAGGTGGATCTCTTGAGGTCAGGAGTTTGAGACTAGCCTGGCCAACATGGTGAGATGGAGTGTCTACTAAAAATACAAAAAAAAGCTGGGTGTGGGGTGCACGCCTGTAATCCCAGCTACTCCAGACCCAGGAGGCGGAAGTTTCAGTGAGCAAAGGTCTTGCCACTATACTCCAGCCTGGGTGATAGAGTTAGACTCTGTCTCAAGAAAAGAAAGAAAGAAAGAAAAGAAAGAAAGAGAATATCCTTGAGACAAAGCCTAGCTCCATATACCAAGTTTTATATATTTTTCTCCACTGAATTCACAGGAACTTTCATTACAGTATAAAATAGCCATAATGTGGAAGGATAGAATATTTGAAGGGCCCACAGATTAGTCCATTTTTTCTGAAATTTCTTAAGAATTATCCAGGGAGCCTATGAAAAATACCCTAGAGATTCTGATTCAGTTGCTCTGGGCAGAACAAAAATGTATTCCCCAAAGTGATTTTGATGATTAACATTAGGAAACACTGATCTAGTATAGCAGTTCTCAATTGGGCACATATTAGAATTTCCTGGGGGGCTTTTAGAACTCTTAAAACCCAGGCTGAGGTCCAGACCAACAGAAATAGCAGCAATACTTTTTTTAAAAAGTTCCCTGGGGAAGGTTTAGAACCATTGATCTGATCTTGCAGAATTTCTCCTGACTTTTAGTTCACTTTGTTTTTGATGTAGTTGTTTTGTTTTTTATGTGGGCTGACCAAAAAAGTGTGAAAAAAATAAACCATCACTTTCGCCTCAGAACAATGATGCCTCTTAACAATTGGATAAGTGGAGCTAACCTTTTTATTTCAGAAATCATTAGAAAATATGTTTAGTCCTAATTTTAAATAAAATAGACTAATCTTAACCCTTAGCTCTTACTGCCAACCTGTTAACATATCTTACAAAGAATTCTTTAGAGTTTTCTTTTTATCCTCTAAATCAACATTTTTATTTTTATTTTTAGAGACAGAGTTTCACCAAGTCGGTCAGGCTGCTCTCCAACTCCCCACCTCAGGTGATCCGCCTGCCTCAGCCTCCCAAAATGCTGGGATTACAGGTGTGAGCCACTGCTCCCAGCCTTCTAAATCAATATTTTAAAATTTCAAATTCTTTAAAAGGTCTAACATCACAGTTCCTTACTAGCAAAATTATTTTGATACCTGAATTTGACATGATTTTTTCATAATGTACAATATGTAACTCCATATACTGAAGTTACTCTGTGAGAGAGAATAGATTTCCTTCTTCCATACAAAAGAAAGAATTTTACGCTCCATTAGCAAAACCCCATCATTGGTTTGTCCACAGATACTCGAGTGGGAAGCTACTCAAGATATCAGTCAACCCATTCTAAGAATGTTCTTTTTAATATAAAAGATAATGTTTTTTAAAAATCATTTAAAATGTGCCAAGTGCAAGCTTATGCATCTATCATTTTTAAGAGTGCATTTTACTTTCTAAAAATTACCACACTTTTGATTGACGTGCCCTCCGGGAATCTACTTTTATTATTGCAGTATTGAAGTTGTTGAAATATCAACCTTCATCCCTCTCAAGACCGCTAGGTATTTAGATATTTCAAATTTCAGCAGTTTGTCATTTTTGCTTCTGGGTTTTAAAAATGTGTTTAGTTTGCTTTACCAAGCAGATCACATTACTACAGATAAAACTTAGGTAACGTATATAGTCCACAGTACAATGTATATTTTTGATTACTTCTATGAGGTTCGAGATTTTCAAATATTCTAAGTAAGAATCAGATGCAATGAATTTTGTTTCAGAAAGTTTAATGAAAGCCCCCGTTTTCATTATTAAAGATACGTATTAACACATACGAATGATAAAATTTTAAGTCTAACCAAAATTTAAGTATGCTACAGTATACTTTGCAAATGTCCCCAAACTTGAATGGAATCAAGAATGTGCCGCTTATGGCACAGAGCAAAAATAAAAAATCAGAATCTCAGTTAAATATTCAAGAGATACACACCATCTAGAAAACTGGGCTAGCCTGAATAATCCATGGAGTTTTTCCTTTAGGGTAAAACTGTGCTACACTAAGTTTCTGCAAAGCCTAATTATTTTGTGTTAACATACTGAACTTGAAACTTGCCATCTCAAATTCCAAGGGATAAGACTGTATACCACAGCTGGCTGCTTAAAAATTTCCTGAAATTGGGGGCTGCTTAAAAATTTCCTGAAAACCAAACATGTTTATTTTTCAGACGTGTTCTCGGTTCTCGGGTAGTAGTCAAATATCAAACACCCGTTCCTGAAAATTCCTGGCTGGTCCTATCTGGCCGGGAGCACCGACCCCTGGACGGGAAGAGGCAGGACCGCAGCACCGAGCCGGGACACTGAGAGCCGCCCGGCGCACACGGAGCCCGCCCGGGGGGCGGGGGGCTCGCACGTGCCCGGCCGGGGGCGGGGCCGGCGCCGGCGAGCAGCGACCCCGACTCGGGGAGGCGGGCGCGGCCGGGCAGACCTCTCCCGCGGCCGCGATCCAGCGGTTTACATAAGGGTGCGCGTCATGGAACTGATGGAGCCACACAGAGACGTCTAGGTCATGCAGGAGGCGCCCGGCCCCGGCCCGCTCCCGCCGCCCCAGACCCCTCCTCTCATCCGACAGAAAGACAGACAAGAAGGGTTCCCGACCTGTCGTGCCCTGCATGTTCAGAGTCTGTCATGTTTGGTCAAGAACGGGGCGGGGCTGGAGGGCAGGTCTGCGAGGCCGGCGGCGGCGGGGCGCGGGGAAGACCCCTGCGCCGCCTGCGGGAACCTGCTCCCGGCCGCCGCCGACAGGTGACGAAGTGGTAAAAACTCACGGTTACTAGTGAGCGACACAGACACAGACTTTCCAGTCTATTAACAACCACGCCAGAGAGGTGGGGCTCTAACTGCAAACACTGGGCAACGGCCCCGCGCTGCCGGCGCTGCCGCTCTAGTCTCTATTCGCCGCCGGTGGCTGTGGCGTGGGAGCGGGCGGGCGGCGTGCACCGACGCGGGGATTTGGACAGTGGCCGTAACGGTGATTTCTCCTCACCAACATGGCGGCACCCGAAACAGGCAGCTCGAGAAAATGGCGCCGGCCGCAACACCTTGCCCGGGACTAAAGGGCAAGAGAGATTCCTCCGCGAGCCGCGGCCCTTGCCCAGCCTGCCGGGGCTGAGCGCGTTGACCATTGGATGAGACTGCCCGTCAATCACATGCAGGGGCGGGTCTCCACAGTTCCCTGTGCAGCGGCGGAGGCGGCAGCCTAGTGGCGGGGACGGGTGGCGAGAGACGCGGCTGAGTGGCTTCTCCAGTGGCTGCAGGAGCGGGAGGCGGCCCGCGGGACCAGCGAGGGCCACCAGCGCTTCTGCTCTGGGCAATTTTTTTTCTTGGAGACGCCCGCCGCCTGAGGAGTTCCAGACGCATCAAGCAAACGGGCCCCAAAACTGTTACCCGAGGCGGGCAGGGGTGGGATAATAAAGAACAGGCGGCCGTCGAGTGCATAAAAAAATTTTTTTGAAAACCTTTGTTCTTGCAGTAATGGGGAATGCAGTTTCTCCTTCACTGTTGTAGCGAGTATCTGTTTTTGTAACGTTTAGTGCTCAGAATAATGAAGGAAAATAGCTTGCCAGGCAATTTTTTCTTATATTTGCCGCTAAATTTACCCAATTATTACTTAAAATAGGAATAGCTGTCAAAATAATTATATAAACTTTACGTTATTTCGTAAGAATATTAACGTAAAATGTATGCGAGTATTTTATAAATAACTATTAGGCATGACATTATTATTTTTTTGAGATGGGAGTCTCGCTCTGTTGTCCAGTCTGGAGTACAGTGGCGCGATCTCGGCTCACTGCAACCTCTGCCTCCAGAATTCAAGCAATTTTCTTGCCTCAGCTTCCCGAGTAGCTGGGACTACAGGAAGCGCCTCCATGCCTGGCTAATATTTGTGTTTTTAGTAGAGACGGGGGTTTCACCATGTTGGCCAGGCTGGTCTCGAGCTCCTGACGACAGGTGATCCGCATGCCTCTCCCTTCCAAAGTGCTGGTATTGCGTGAGCCACCGTGCCTGGCCGTGCATGACTTTTTTACTTACGAACGTGGTCTTAAGAAATTTTTAAATGACAAGTCAGTGGTTTGGCCTATTTAATATGTTAGCCCTGAATGAAGGTTCCTTGCTTTTTACTAAAATGATAGACTTAATGATTAATCCAAATAACTGACTTCATTTGTCTGTCCTTAATAATACATTTTCCTAGCATAAATGGAATGCATCCAGAAGCAATTGCAATGAGTGGATTAAATTAGAAACGTAAAGTGTTTGATATTAATATATACCTTGAAAAGAAAGGCTGGGCCGGTGGCCTTTCAAAAAAAAAAAAAAAAGTAGGGCTTTTTTTTTTTTTTTTTTTTTAAGTTGAATGCAACCAGTGACAGGAACTCGTCACATTTTACCTTAATACATTTCTAGGAAGCTTTCAAACAGTAGACCTGAAGAAACTATGTTAACATTTGGAGTTACATTAAAATCTCAAGACGGTTTTATTCTAACTATTTTACTTAATTTAGGACTTACTGTAGCTAATTTGGGTTGCCAGTTTCTTTGAAGTTATCCAGAGGCCTTTCAGATAAACAGTTGCTGTTATTTCTTGCACTTCGTTTTCTGTGTCCCCTATACCTGGAGGTTTCAGAATTTATTTCAAACCTTTGTTAAGGTGTTTGGTTTGTAATGGTGTGGGACAATGTAGTTGTCTCTGGATGAAAAGCCTCCTTATCTAACCTTTGGCATGCACCACTTAAGAAGTTTGATGCTAAAATTTGTCGTCAGGGCTTGGTCTTTTTTCTTTAGGTAACAGAAAGGGGAGGTGTGTGTGGGTGAGCATTGAGGGGCAGTGCCCCTCTGAGGCTATGGGCTTTTAGAAGCTAGAGATCTGTGACCCCTTGTCTTTAATTGCCTCAGTTAAGGAGCAATGTATGTATCAAAGAGATTACAGTAGATAATTAATTTTCAACCTAACAGATTTTACCTAACAATGATATGTGGACCATGAGAACTGCAGAACTCTTGTCACATAATGACCTTGTCCAAACCTCAGCAAAGAGAGACCACCAAACTGTACCAAGGCTTGTAGCAGCATAAGGTCTTGTTCCTAGGATGACCACAGTACCCTCTCCAGACCCCTCAGTTAAATGTCTCCAGAGAAGGCTCAACACTGCCCACCTGGCCATAGGCCCTTGACCCTCTTTCTTGGAGCATTTAGAAAAAAAGAGCTTACAATGGTGGGTCCTTCCTCTATCCTCTTTACATGTATAATTTCTCTACTACAACTCAGGAGTGTCTTAAGGACCTGAAAGCCATTACTTTGAAATTTAATCATCTGGAAGGTTGCTATCTCCCATTCTTGATGGGAGGGTAGAATCCTGACTTCGATGACAGTTGCCAGCTAGCTGACACAACCGGTCTAATCACTTTTATACTCACTGACTTTGTAATTTTTTGTATGTATTCTTGCTCTTCCCCCTCCCTTATTCTGTCTTTAAGCTGCCCAATTACTTCTGCATTTTAATGGAGCAATGCTCTTTCCCTATGTTAGTAATTACTGAATAAAATTGTTTTTCACCACTTTAATGTCCAGTTTTATTTATCTTTGACAACCATCCCCACCCCCTGTGCACCCCAAAATTGTAACGCACATAAAGGTACCAACACTTATTTTGCTAAATAAGGTCATCTTAAATGTCTTACGGTTATTTCATAAAAGACATTTTAACATCAAGAAAGTAGAAAGGATATTCTTTTTTTTTTTTTTGAGACAATTTCACTTCATCATCAGCTGGAGTGCAGTGGCATGATCTCAGCTCACTGCAACCTCCACTTTCTGGGTTCAAGCAATTCTTGTGTCTTAGCCACCCGAGTAGTAACTAGGATTACAGGCACGCACCATCATGCCCGCTAATTTTTGTATTTTTAAGAGACGGGAGTTTCCACCATGTTGGCCAGGCTGGTCTCTTAACTCCTGACCTCGATTGAGCCATATGCCTTGGCCTCTGAAAGTGCTGAGATGCCAATTATTTTACATTGAATTCCTTTACATTTAGCTTTAAGAAAAATTCATTTTATTTTCCCTGTTGTGTCCCAGATGATAAGAATAAGCCCTGGTATTCCAAGGCTCCCAATATTGGCACAAATTATAGTGCAACAAAGTGACACAGGAGCTGCAGACCATTAGACACATTCAGAGACTGATCAGGCTTAGGACAAAAACAGACTCCTAGTGATCATCCTAGCTGGAGGATTAGGGGGCCTTTCCATATCTTTCCTGATAGCTTATACAATTCCTAAATGTGTATGTAGCCCTAGGCAGGGGGAGGGTGCCCAGTTGCAACTATTTTCTGCCTACCTACCAGAATAGGAGCTTAGAGTTAGAACTAATTTGGCGGGAATAATTCCCTGTACAGTACACACTGAGGTTACAAATGAATATTTGTGTTATTCACACTCACTGGAAAGTTTTTCACACACATTTTCAAAGTAAGTTGTAGACTTCAGAGGTTTTAGTCTGTTTGGGCCACCATAAATTACCATAGACCAGTGGTTTATAAACAACAGAAATTTATTTTGCTACAGTTCTTGAGACTAGAAAGTCCAATATCAAGGTGCCAGAAGATATGGCTTGCTTCTTGATTCATAGATGGCTGTCTCCTCACTGTGTATTCACATGGTGGAATGGGCAAGGGAGCTCTCTAGGTTCTCTTTTATAAGGTCACTAATCTCATTCAAGAGGGCTCCACCCTCATGACCTAATCACCACCCAGAAGCCTCATCTTCAAATATCATCACATTGGAGATTAGGGATTAGATTTCAACATATTGAATTTCAAAATTTTAAATTTTCAACATAAATTTGGGGTGAACACAAACATTCAGTGTATAGCAACTTCTAAACACTTCAGCATGCAAATCATTAATTAGAATGTAATATTTTTAGCAGTATCATTTTAAGGTAAATTTTATGTACAGTGAGATGCAGAGTCTTGAGAAAACAATTTGATGAGTTCTGAAAAATGCAGAAAATACATACACCTGTGTCACCCAAATCCTTATGAAAGCATATAACATGACCATACCCTAGAAATTTCCCTCTGACCCTGCCCATTCAAACCTCATCTGCATCCAGAGGCAATCATTTCTCTAACTTTTTTCAACTACAATTTAGCTTTGCCTGATTTAAAACATGGTATGGTTTATAAATAGAATAAATGCTGTTTTGTATAAGGCTTTTTTCATTCAGAAAAATGACTTTCTTCATTTATTTTTTATGTTAAAAATTACCTCATTTTCAACTTTTTCAAATCTCAGAGGGAAAACATTCAGTCATATGAAGTATGCAATTAACTGTACTAATGGCATAGTACATAAAGGGTGTGACTTTGACATTCCTTATCAGATGGAGGAAATCTATTTTTTTGTTTGTTTTGGAGATTTTTTATTTATTTATTATTGATTTTTTAATTCCACTATAGTTAGAACTCATACTTTATATCATTTCAATTCTGTGACATTTGTTAAGGTTTATCTATTAAGGAAATCTTTCTGCTAAGGAAATCTATCTATTCCTAATTTGCTGAATTTATGTTTGTTATTGTCAAACAATTTTCTGCATCAGTTGATGAGATCATATAGTTTTCTTCTTTTTAGTCGTAACATGTTGGATTGCACTGATTGATTTTCAAATAGCAAACCACCTTATACGTATTTCTGATACGAACTTCACTTAGTTGTTATATATTATTCTTTTTATATTGTTGGATTCGATTTTTAACATTTAGTTAAGAATTTAAAAATCTTTGTTTAGGAGGGATATTGGTGTGCAGTTTTCTTTCTTTGTCTTTGACCGTTTTTGGAATTGGGTTAATGCATACCTTTCTATTTTCTGCATGAGAGCATATAAAACTTGTATTTCTTCCTTAAATGTTTGGTAGAATTCTCCAGAAAAACCATCTGGGCCTTGATATTTCTTATTTTAGAAGGTTTTAAGCTATGAATTTAATTTCTTCAATAGTTAATTGTTCTGTTAGATTGTGTACTTTACCTTAGGTGAG